AAACATATATATATATATATATATGCATTTTACCACAATTTGTTCCCCAGAGGGGTGCCGGTTAATAATTCTGAAACCACTATATATGTGTACTATGACTGAACAAATAAGTACGTAGGTGACAGTTGGAAAAGGAGGCTATGGATAAATGAGTAAGAAATCCTAGAATGAGCCATGCAGTACTGTGTTTGTGTTGGAGATATCAGTATAAATTTGATTTTCTTAACAGACAATGATATAAAAATAATTGTGCAGTCATGAGTTATTATTCATACACATATTCCCTATCTCTGTCCACTGAGAGAACCTAGAAGTAATGACACTCTATAAGGAACAAGTAACACCTAGATATTGGTTGTTTTGTTTTTTTTTTGTCGTAGTTCTACAAAGTAAGGAAGTGCTGGAAGAAAAAACTACAATAATGGTAATATGTTAAAGGGACATAGAACCCAACCTGAAAATGCTCCCAATACTGAAAACTGAAACAATCAGAGCAACAAAATAAAGTAGTATTGGATTTTAACACAAAGTGTAAAGTAAATATCCATAAGTGCATACTGACATAAATAAAATATTGACTAAACAAATTAGGAGAATTACCTACATGTAAAAATTCAAAATAATAATTCAAAATAAAAATTCATAAATAAAACATTGAGTAAACAAATAGGGAGAAATATCTATGAGTAAGAATTCAAAATAATTTTAAAATACAGACAATCTCGTTTTGAGGCAATAGTACATAATTTCCCACTCACTTTCAGTATGGGCTATGCACAGTGACTTCCTTCGGAAGAGTACAATGTAGAAAAGAGTGAAGGAAAGCTTTCCAGTGGAGAAAGCTGACAGCTATTTCAGCCAGGTAATCAAAGTAACCATTACTGGTAAAAAATCATGCTGACAGTATTTAATCCTGATATGTTTTGAAATTCTTTGTGCTTACCGCTATGATCTTCACCAAAAATCTATAACTCCAGTGTAATCATTAGAAAAACACCAGAAAATCAAATGACAGACATTACAAAAATATAGGACCAGTGCTCATAAAATCTGCCAAAATCATCATAAATGAGTCTGAGAAATTGTTATAACCAAAAGGGAGATGATGAATAAAGGTATTGTGGTATCCCAGATGGGATACTGGAACAAGAAAAGGTCATTTGATAACAACCAAGGAAATCTGAAAAATTAGACTTTAAAAATAATAATATGTTTACATTTGGTTCGTTAATTATAACAAAATTGCCTTAAGAAAATGAGAATCAAGACTTGCCATGTAGAGGTACATGATCCTAACAATGAATGTAATTGTACTGTATCCCTAAAATGTACCAATAAACTCAATTAAAGCTGAAAAAAAAGAATTTAAGATATTAATCATAGGAGAAATTGGATGTGGAGCATATGGGAACTTGATTATCTATCCAATTTTTCCATAACTCTAAAGCTGTTCTCATAGTAAATGTTACTTTAAAAGTACAAGTAGTTGACAAAATGCAAACTTTTCAGTATCATTAAGGGTTAGGGAAATGCAAATTAAAACTATAATAATGTGCCATTGTACTCCTAAATTTTATGCTCAGAATTGAACACAAGGCCTTATGCATTCTAAGTAAGCATTCTACCACTGAGCTAAATGCCCAGCCCTTTTTACATTTTATTTTAACACAGGGTCTTACTAAATTGCCCAATCTTGCCTTGAACTCACAATCCTGCCTCAACCTTGTAAGTAGCTGGGAATACAGGTATACGCACTATGTCTGGCCTAAATCTTTAAAAAATTAGTAGGAAGGAAAAATGGTACATTATGCTTGGAAAAACAATTAGGCAATTTCATATATATATATATATATCATTCAGTAAAAGGTGAAACACAGATCAGTGCTCAAAGCAACAGAACCAACTGGTCACCCCTGGTCATGGACTGAAACTTCTAAAACTTTGAGCCTGTACTGTATACCTAAAAAAGTACCAATAAACTTGATAAAAAAACCAACTTTGAGCCAAAATTGACCATTACTCTTTTTAAAATGATTGTCTCAGATTTTGTCATAGTTATACAAAGCTAACTAACACACTCTGTTACTACAACTGCTGCCCTAGTTCAGGTCCTTGTTAATCTTTCATCTGGAATGTTGTAGTACTTATCTTTTTTAAAAAGTTTATTTTATCAGTAGACTTGTGTAGTATCTAATGTTTGCATTCCCTATGGGAAGTTGGTACATATACATAAGGCATCTTAATTCTGCTTTTCATCCCCTTTCCCTCCCTTCCTCCCCTAACCACGCATCTCTGGATTGGCTTGCATTTTCTGGGAGGGTCATACATGTTTACTGTATATAATGCTTACATTTCTGTGTGGAGTTGTCACATATGAATGCTCCAATTCCTCTTTTCATCCCCTCTCTCTCCCCTCTCTTTCCCTCCCTATATCTCCTGATCCCTTTCCCCTTTGAGAATGATTTATCTCCCTACTTCCTGTTATCTATCTTTTATTTTCTTTTACTTTGGATTTCTCATATAAGAGAAGCCATGTGACATTTAAGTTTGTATGCCTGATTTATTTCACTTAATATTATAGTCTCAAGAAGGATCCATTTTCCTATAAATGACTCAAGTTTATCTCTCTTTATGGCACAGTAGCACTCCAGTGTGTGTAAACATCCCATTTTCTTTATCCATTTATCTGTTGATGAACATATAGGCCACTTCCAAGATTTAGCTATTATGAACTGTGCTGTTATAAATATGCAAGTATCAATGTAATGTAATATCTTTAACCCTTTTGTGAAGGTACCTAGAAGAGGAATAGCTGAGTCAAACAGAATTTTTAGCTTCAGTTTTTTGAGGAATGTCCACATGCATAGTGGCTGTAGCAGTTTACATTCCCACCAACAGTGGAAAAAGTTTTTTTTCCCTTCTATCCTCTCCATCATTTGTTATTATTTGATTTCTTGATGATGGCCATTATTTCTGGTGTAAGATGGAATTTCAGTGTTGTTTCAATTTGCATTGCTCCAATGGCCAGTGATGTATTCCTTTATGTATTTAATGGCCATTTGTACTTCTTCTGAGAAATAGCTATTCATTTCACTTGCCCAATTTTTGATTGGATCTTTGCATTTTAAGGGTCTAATTTTTTTAGTTCTTTATATATTCTAGATATGAGCCTTCTGTCTGAGGAATTACTGGCAAAATATTTTCCCCATGTTGTAAGTTGTTTTACACTCTCTTGCTTGCTTCTTTTGCTGTGCAGAAGCTATTTTATTTGATTTGTTGATTTTTGGAACTATTTCCTGTGCAACTGGAGTTCTATTCAGAAAGTCCTTGCCTATGCCTATGACTTGAAGAGTTCTACTTATTTTGTCTTCTGGCAGGTTAAGTGTTTCTGGTTCAACATTTAGTTTCTTTTAATCTCTTTTGATTTTGGTTTAGTATATGATGAGAGATCCAATCTTCTGCATGTGGGGAGCCAGTTTTCCTAACATCATTTATTACAGAGGCTATCTTTCCCCCAGTGTGTGTTTTGACTGTTCTGTCAAAGATCAAATAATTGAATTCCTTGGGGGTTATTTTTGCATGCTTTATTCAGTTTCATTGATCTTCATGCCTGTTTTTGTGCCAGTATTATGCTGTTTTTATAATACCACCCTTGTGATATAATTTCAGGTCCAGGATAGTAATGCCTCTTGTTTTTCTCTTGTTGCCCAGGGTTCTTTTGCTATCTGTTCTTGGTCTTTTATGGCCAGTTCTGTGAAGAATATTATTGGAGTTTTGAATGGGATTGCATTGAATCTATATATCAATTTTGGAAATATGGCCATTTTGACTAAATTGATTCTTCCTATCCAAGAAAAGGAGATCTCTTTCCATTTTCTGATGTACTCTTCAATTTCGTTTTTCACAGTACTGTAGTCTTTATTGTATAGGTGTTTCACTTCCTTAGGTTAATACTTAAGTATTTAACTTTTCTTGGTGTTATTGTGAGTGGTATTTTTTACCTAATTTCTTCCTCAGTGGGTTCATTATTCATGTGTGGGAATGCTGTGGATTTTTATGCATTGATTTTGTATTTTGCAACATTAATGATTATTAATTCTAGGAGAATTTTGGTGGGGTTTTGGGGGTCTCTATGTAGAGGATCATATCATCTGTAAACAATGATAATTTGTCCTATACATAAGCATTTTATTTCTTTTTCTTGCCAAATTACTCTTAATATTTTTTGGTATGAAATACATTCATTGTAAACTTTATAGACACAAAAATAGGTTCCCTAGGCCATTCATATGCACATTAAGACCAAATAGTTGCAAACTACCACAATATATTATATAAATGATCACGATCTGTGATCAGTACAGGATTGTTGTCCATGCAAGGCAATTGGAGGCATTCCCTATAAAGCCTTAAGATCCAGAAGCCTTACTACTAAACCTCTAATTAACAGTGTGAAGTGCTTAGGAAAGCAGTTCCACAAGTTGGCTAATATTTCTTTAAAGCAAATGACTGCTTCTAAGCTTAGCCTTACAAGGTATTTTGCCTGAATTGAAAATATAAGTATTTCATTACTGTGTGCAGCTCTGTGTTGAACCAGCCGGTTGTTGTCACACCCACCAAAAACAATTGCTTCTCCTTCATCACTGGAACAAGCCGTGCTTTATCTTCGGATAAATAGCCATACCCTGCAAAAAATATTATCTTGTTTTTATATACACAGACACTGAGTTTGCCCTTTGATGATGGAGGAATTCCTTGGCAATCAGCTTTCCCTCTGCAATACTCTGACCACCTTGAATCCAGCATGTAGAACTTATTTGTGTTGCCTTTTGAATGGTGCCCTCCAAACAAGTCCAGCACTCTGTCCACACACATGGTGCAGCTGCCTGACATCAAGGTGGAAAATCACCCTCGGTGTTAATTTTCTTCCTGAGGGGGTCAAACTGAATGCATATAAGATTCCCAAAAGGTAAGACATGCACAGATCTGTCAATTATTCTAAAAATATGGAATGCTTCGTGAGTTTGCATGTCATCCTTGCACAGGGGTCATGCTAATTTCTGTATCGTTCCAGTTTTAGTATATGTGCTGCCAAAGTGAGCACTCTTCTTAATATTTTGAGAACCATATTCAACAAGAGTGGTGATAGTGGTCATCCTTGACTTGTTTCTGATTTTAGAGAGAAAGCTTTCAGTTTTTCCCCATTTAATATGATATTGGTGGTGGTTTTGTCATAAATGGCTTTTATTAGATTGAAATAAGGTCCTTTACCTATTTTCTTCAGTGCTTTTAATCATAAAAGGATGTTGTATTTTGTCAAAGGCTGTGTATTTTTGAAAATTAATTTTATTGATACATTTTAGTTAAGCAATATAATGACATTCATCATTGGTGATTTGTACGTTTACATAATATATATCTTGATTCTTATTGTTTCCCATTCCCCTGTCTGCCCTTCAATCCCTCTACTCATCCCTATTTACAAAGATTTCGTTTCCATTGTTTGGTTTTCTCATGTTAATTCCAATCCCCTTTTTCTTTTCCCGCAGCCCTCCAACTTCCCTTTCCCCTTTTCATCTTTTCTTCCTATTTCATAGGAAAACTTTAAGTTTCTCACACCAGAGAAACACATGAATGTCATATTTATTTCACTTAAGAGTATGGCCTCAAAGTGCATCCCAAAGGCTGTGTATTGAGATGAAGGCTTTTTTTCTGTGTGTATAGAGAAGATCATGTGATATTTGTCCTTCTTTTTGTTTATATGATATATTATATTTATTGATTTGCACATGTTGAGCCATCCTCTGGGGTAAAGCTACTTGTCATGATGTATGATTTGTTTGATGATTTGTTGCATTCTGCTTGTTATTATCTTGTTGAGGATTTCTGTATCTATGTTCATTAAAGAGATTGGCTAATAGTTCTCTTTTTTGGTTGGATTGTTGTCAAATTTTGAAATCAGAGCAACGGTAGCTTTCAGGAATGACTGTGGGAGTACTCCCTCCCTTTCAATTTCATCAAAAGCTTTGAGGAGCATTGCTGTTAGAACTTCCCTGAAGTTTTCATAGAATTCAGCAGTGAACCTGTCCAGATCTGGGCTTTTCTTAGTTGATAGGTTATTTATTACTGCTTCAATTTCATTACATTATTGGATTATTCAATGTTTTTAAATCTACTTCATTTAATTTCACAGAGTTGAGAGGTTTTGGAGGCATTTCAATGGCTTATCTTCTCATGTTTCTAATTTTTTTGTTTATTTATTTGTTTTGTTTTGAGCCTTGTGGATTTATTGCAATACAAAGTTTTGCTTCTACAGTAAATCCCCAACTTACAAATGAGTTCCATTCCAAGAGAATTGCTTATGATTTGGATTCATTCATAGGCCACCAAATCATGTCTTATGCAGTACACTTGTGAAAGTTCACAACTAGACTGTTTGTAAGTAGAGGATTTAATGTAGTATGAAGACCTCTCTAGTTAATGTCTATTTTTTCTAGTGTCCTGAGGGTATGGCTAAATACTGGCCTTTTCCCCAGTCCCCAGATCCAACCACTTCCATTTACCTGAGAGGTGAAGCTGCAGCACAATTGGCCCAAGTGCCCAGTTCTCCCAGAATGAATCATGGTATTGTCAATGACCCCAGTACAATCTACATATTGGCATCTTAAGAAAACCAATTATAGCCATGGCTGTCACCTTGGCTATAATATCAATTATGAGCATCATTTGTAGCACTAAGTGCAAACCAAATATTGACAAACCCTAAGGACCAATAAAGTGTCACCCTTGTCCATCGAAAAACAGATAAAAGGAGAAAAAAGAACAGAAAGAAGAGTTGACTCTGTCATATGGAGGAAGCCTCATTCCTTAGGCATGGGTCAGCTTTTTCACGTGAGCATGGTACACCACTCCTGTGGCACAGATTGGCTCTCTGTACAATAGTTATTTTTTTCCCTCATCGAGTTTATTGGTACATTTTAGGTATACAGTACAGTTACTTTCATCACTGGGATCTTGTACCTTTACATGACAGGTCTTGGTTCTCATTTTTTCCCCTTGTCCCTGCCCTCCCTTCACCCCCTCCCCCTTTACAAACACTTAATACAATAGTCATTTTTAAATGGCTTTCTTACTTTTAATCTTATCCTTCTCAAATCCCTTCTCTATAAATGCTACATGCATTATGTAATGCTACATTGCATAATCCAAGAAACAGTCAAATTTTTCAATGTAGTACCCCTATGAACCAGACTGGTTTTTAAAAATGCAAATATGATTGAGTGTATATTCTATTTAAAACTCAAGGACAGCCTATGAAGTACAGGATAAATTTTAAGTTTCTTCACATTCCATTAAAGTACTCCACGATTCTGACCTTAATAACCTCTTGTCCTTCACTTTATGTTCTTTCTATTTTCTTCACTTCATGTTCTATCCAAATAGAATTATTCTCACAATTTACTGGTAACATCATGAATTTTTTCTCCTTCAAATATCATCTTCCCAGTATCCCTACTCCTTAATCATTTTTCAAACAAATAATTTCTATTTCTACTTCAAAACTAAGTTCAAACAATCTCCTTCGGGACACTTATTCTGAACCTTGGCCCTCAGCTCAGGCTGGTCCAGAAATATACCTCTTCTCTTATAGCACTTATAATACTCTATGATTATTGCATCTGTATGTTAATCTGCCTTTCTGAGTATGAGCATCTTAAGGGCAGATGTTCCATGTCTTCAGCATCTAGCCAAGTAAGTGCCTTTCCAGGCTGATTTGCCTCAAATGAAAGGCACACTCTACCTAAACTCAGGATAGAAAATCACTTCTCAGAAATCCTCTTACAACTGTTCACAGTGACAAAAAACATGTCTGACAAGTAGCTTCAAAAGAGAAGAGGAAAATGATAAATAGGTCCAGGGTTTACATGAAGCTAGTAAACAATATTTCGGCAGAGCTTTTATTTGAAATTGAAATATTTTGATACCAGCCAGTAAATTGCTGTTTCTTTTTTTTCAGCTTTAATTGAGTTTATTGGTATATTTTAGGGATACAGTATAGTTACATTCTTTGTTGGGATCTTGTACCTCTACATGACAAGTCTTGATTCTCATTTTGCTGTTTCTTTAAGCTCTCTGAGTGACTCCACCACTTTGTGGATCCCTCCTGAGACTGTTAGGAGTCTCTTTGACCCAGCCTGACAGAGACTTCTAGAACCCTACTCTAGTACTAATGGCTCTTCTCATTGGTTAGTGTCTATGTGAGGCTGATTGTTAATTATTTTGAACATCTCATTTGAATTTACTCCTCTCTAAATGTGCAGCATTCCCATCAATAGTGTCCTCAGTTCATCTCCATATCTCTGTCTTGGGGGCCTTGGTTGATTAGCTTGGATTTTAAGCCTGTCACTAGAAAGAATAAACTGCAGGCAAAGGGGTTATTTAGCTTGGTCAAATGATGGTTTAAAGGCTTTCTCTGGCTACCCATCTTTTTATTTACTGAGCCACAATATTTATACATCTTTATGGGGTACATTATACTATTTTGATACAATGTATGATAATCACATCAGGGTAATGAGCATTCCATTTCTTCAAACGTGAATCATTTTTATGTCTTGGGCATTTTGTACTCCTCTAGTACATCAGTTGTTTTAACAAACAGTTATCCTAATGTGTTATAGAGAAACAAAAGCAATTCCTCCTCTTCATGTTTTCTTGCTCCTTATTTTCCTTTCCACTTCACCTTTCCCTTGCCCTTCTCAGTGCTAGTGACCTCTATAACAATCTGTTCTTCTAAAAGAAGTACTTAATTTCCACAAATAATTGAGGCTATATGGTGTTTGTCTTTCTGTCTGTTTTTTCTTTTCTTTTCTTTTTTGCGGTAACAGGGATCAAACTCAGGACCTTGCTCTTTTGAGGCAGGCTGCAGCACCACTGAGCTAAATCCCCAGCCCCGCTTATGTCTGGTTTATTTTATTTAATATAATGTACTCCATTGCCATCCATGTTGCTACAAATGACAAGCTTTTATTCTTTTTATGGCTAAAAATATATTCAGCTGTGTATCTATACCATGTTTTCTTTCAAATAAAATTTTTATGTGTGTGGGAGGGTGATACACAACACATGCAGTTCCCAAATACCTTGCTCTTTGTCTTTTCAGTGGACATGAGTTAACAAATAAAATAGGGAATCAAGAGGTTTGGAGCAGAACCCAAATTATAGCTTATACACTAAAGTTTTATTAAAACTCATCATAGGGAATAGACTGAGTTGCCAAGACAGAGGGCTTTGAAAGATGTGCAGCTTCTTTCAGGACAAAAGTGAATGGGGGCTGGGGATTTAGCTCAGGGGTGCCAGTGCCTGTCTTGCAAGCGCAGGGTATCCCAAGTTCGATCCCCAGTACAAAAAAAAAGTGAACTCAAACTACCAGGTTTCTAGTTCTACCTCTGTTCAAACAGAGCACATCAGTAGTGACAGGTTCGGGTGGTGACAGCTCTGTGAAGATTTGGGAATTAGGTACTATAGCTTAAAGAAAGGCCTCCCTGCAGAACTTGGCATGGAAGGAATGCAGGGAGTAACAGAGCTCAACTTTAGAAGGAACACATTCTCCTGGAAAGAAGCAATGGGATATTTGTCATCACAACCTAATAACTAGGAAATTTCTCTTTTTCCACCAAATTCCTAACCCCTATGATTCTGGTAAAATCAAAGCAAGATGAAAGGATTCCACAAAATGATTGATGGTGGACTTCTGGCCAGCTCTGTTGAGTGGGAACTCATGTAGGATTTATTGCTTTTTCTAATTTTATTCACAAAAAATTTTATTGCACCTTCAAAAGTGGACATATGTATAATATATACACACACATAACACTTCATTTCTTATAGACAAAAATACTAATGTATAGACAACTACAATATTGTTTTAGCTGCAAAATATACTGACTGAAGCTGAAATAAATTCTGCAATGAAACTATAGGTTCTGTACCTCAAAATTGCTAGAAAGGTAGCTTTCAAAGTTTAAAACACTATCTTCTCCAGTTCACACATTAGAGAATCAATTTTGTTTTAGTCAAGCACTAAAACACAGGTTACTTTCC